AAATTCGGATGTTATATTTTTAGTGGCATTTTTTGTATGTCAATGAATGACATATGTTTTTGTAGTGATGGAAGAGTTCATGTGTAGACTCCCACCCAACCCTTCCATATGCTTTGATTCAATTATATGATATCCATATACTAAAATGTCTCCCCTTCTTTTTTTTCCATTGAACCTTCATTTTCATCGCCCACTGCTAAGGGGTGCAATGCTTCCTTTATTGAGAAATATTCATCGTAAATTCATGGGTTGGCGTCTATGAGCTTAGTCATCGTTATATAATAAATTTTGAAAATATATTTATCTAAGCATATACCACCATATATAACCATTTAAGTGAATTGTTCTTGTTAAAATAATGTAGTCAATTGCTAAATTGGGTTTTAATACTCGACACTAATCAAAGTGCTCATGTTAATGGTAATATCAAGGGAAATCTTCGATAAAGTCACAATATTTTGGGTCAGTATACGGTTTAATTTCAAGATTTAGTTTTTGAACAAATAACTTTCGATTATCTAGTTTTATACGATAATCAGTTGAAAAAAATAAGGACTGTTTCGTTAATTTCGGCAAATTATAAAATAATTGGAAATTTTATGTTCAAAAAATAAAAGTTGAGATTAAATTGTAAACTGACCCAACATATTGAGACTTTATCCAAGATTTCCCTAATATCAATATATATTGGATTTCAGAATTTTGGATCGGATAAAATTTATCGATTATTTTTACTTTTTCCGGATATATATAACTATGATAAAATTTTTACGCATAAAAATCAAGATTTTTCAAAATCCGATCGAGATTTTTTTGCATAACCGTTTCAAATTATATTCGGATATTGTAGGACAATATTTTAAAAACGTATGGACTTTTTTCAAAATTTAAACATTTGGTTGGGCCTCTCTAACTACCCATAGTAACCAGGATAAACTTCGAGATTCTAGGCCTCGGGCCCGGGGTTATGGAGTACACTCGTCACTGGTTGTTTTTCCTTATTGTCAATTAGAAGTAGGGATCTACTCCACTTTCAAATACATACATACATTTGTAATTAAAGTAAACTATATAAAAGTTATTTGTTTGTTAAGGTAACTATGTTGATTTGAAAAATATTGAGGACGTGACTACATTGTAGCAGGAGAATGTCTTATACTTTACAATAACTGAAAACGTATTCATAAATAGCTCTTAATTTAATACCAACAATGTCATTTCGGTTGTAATAGGCAATACTCTGAAAATGGACACATATGCCCATCTCAATTCTTAAATTATGTAATATATTATTCACATACTCATACATCTTAAATGCTACCACAGTCATAAAAAGCATGCATTATCATTACCGTGTCAAACCATGTTATACGCAAATAAACATGCAAAACAGCGACACTTTTCACATATTTTTATTAACTATGTAAATGAAACTTAGCATAAATTGTTCCGTTTGCATGAAATTCATAAACAGAATGCAAGATATGTTTTGCAATTAATCGAGATACTTCACTTAAAGGTGTAACCAATTATATGGTCTACGTCTTTTTAACATATTTTTAATTGGGGAAAATACAGAAAAACACAACCATTTATATACAATATTTAGAAAAATTCTTACATTTTGTTTATATGTTATAAACATTTATATTTTCAATTATCTTTACCCATTTATCCAAATACCTGGTTTTTAAAATAAATTATTTGTTGTTTTGTGATATAAAATTTATCTTTTTCCTTTTTAGGTTAACATGGAAAACAAAAATAAACAATTTTGTCTTTTGTCTATGATAAGACGTAAGAAATAAACTATTTACTCAAACAAACATAAGTGATATCGTTTATTATTTTTCATGTCAATCTAAAAATAACCAATATAAATGTCATACCACAAAACAACTGGTAATTTTTTTTTAAATTAATATTTAAATAAATCTGAAAGGTATCTGAAACTATAAAGGTTTATCTGTGTATAAAAAAAGTATAAAAGTTTTTTAAAATACCAATAAATAAATTGTTGTGTTTTATATATTTTGCTCATTTAAATCTTTACTTCTAATAAAAGAGTACTAAAACCGTCACTTGTCATTTTTTCCATGCATCCGGATTTTTTTCTCCCGCTCATTTTTTACCAAGTAAAATTACCAATCTACCCTTTACCTTTTCTTTATTGATTTGGAAATCATCCATCGTTAACATTTGAATCCTATTAAATCAGCAAATGGTTCCTACAAAATTGCAAAAGGCGAATTTTTAAGACTAATTAGGAAAATGAGAACCAATTTCATGGCAATCCATTCCAAAATTAATGTTCTCTCTCTCTCTCTCTCTCTCTCTCTCTCTCTCTCTCTCTCTCTCTCTCTCTCTCTCTCTCTCTCTCTCTCTCTCTCTCTCTCTCTCTCATGTAATTCTAAACCCAAATAAGAAGCATCAATGACGCCATGGAAGGTATAGTAGGAACCATCCAATGCTATCACCACTATCAGAGAACCTTACATCATCTCTCTTACTCTCTCGATTTACAAAAGTAAGTACATCTGGGTTATTTTTGTTTTTCTTCCTTTCTGAAGAGAGGTCCAATTTGGGGTTTTAATGATTTTCTCATTTTCTTTTGCCTAGAACATCTGCTTCTGGTGTAAGTGGTGTAAGTGCGATGTGTCTGGAAACTCGGGATCGTAAATGGATTCGAGTATTCTAGTATTACATTGAACCAAGAATTTCATATATGCCGAGCTTCTTCAAGATAACATCCATAGCTATTGTTACCCAAAACTTATGAGTGTCTTTCACAATTTCAAGTCATGTTTAACACTTGCTCAATATGGGTGTTCTTATGTTTTAAATATTTTCAATCTTATTGCTTCCTATAGGCATACATGATTAAACTGTTTTGGATTAAGATATAAATTAAATATTGTTTATTGTTGTATATATTTCTTCAGTTATGTATTCATATATGCAGGATCTAAGTCGTATGAATGACGAAATATGTGGGCTTGAACATGTAATTGTGCAAATACCACATCCATGGCGACCAAGGTTTTATCGATTGATTAACCCCCATAATATATCTCCACCCGTGTTGTGTAGAATTAGGTTATTAAACATAAATTTTGGATTTCTTTTTTTAGGTTTTTAGTTTCCATGAACACCCTGTTTGACAAAATGCCTCTATGACCAACATATTTTGTATATATTTTTTGTTGCTATGGTCCATCTTTGAAGAAGGGAAAATGACTTACGCCCAACGAACTTTCTAAACCACTCTAAAAAGCCTAATCATATTTTGTCTGTTAAAAAAAACTCAACGAACTTAACCTGTTATCTAAAAAAGCCCAACTAAGTTACACTTTTGTTCAATTCTATGGAAGTCAAAAAAGAGAAACAAATGGCGTGGCTTATTACCATATCAGGAAAATGACTTGTAAGACCAACAAAGTTTCCAAACCATTCAGAAAACCACAATCATGTTTTGTCTATTAGAAAAACCCAACGAACTTAACCTTTTGAACATACAAAACATGATTCGAGTTTTCTAAACGGTTTGTAAACTTCGTTGGGCTTTTTTAGACAAAAGGTTAAATTTGTTGGGTTTTCTTGAACAGAAAAAACATGATTGAGGTTTATTGAACGGTTTGAAAACTTCGTTGGGCTTGTAATTCATTTTCCCATCTTTCAACGATTCATTCTTTTTTTCTAATATTACATGTTTTTGTTTTCTAAAAATATTGATTTATTTCTCAGTTGCAAGGACTTTGGTCAGTGTAAGTGTACATATATGACGATGGTGATAGGTTCTGGTGTGTTATCTCTTGCATATTTTATTGCTTAATTAGGTTGGATAGCATGTACAATGGTTTGTAACTCTCTCTTGCATTACTTACTGCACCTCCACCCTTCTAACTGATGCTTACCGTTCACCAAACCAATGTTTAGGAAGCATAACATCGACGTGGATGTGGTTCAAACCAGTTAAGGTACCAAATATGTATTTTATCATTTTATATCATCAAGTATTTGTAAAAAAAACTTATGTTTAATGACAAGGGTAAAATTGTCATTTTGGTAGAGGAAAAGTAGGTGTAATTATTGAAGATAACTCAATATGTGAAGCTTGTCGGGGTTACCATGGGATAAACAATCATGTCTTCTATAAGCATAGAGTAAGTAAGCAAATGTATATATCAAACTTAAGATGGAGAACATTTCAAGCATCGGATACATTCCTTTTGCTTATGCCTACTCAACTATTCTCATTAAAATTCAGGTTCTCTTTTTTTTAGTTATTTTTTTGGTTTAAACACTTGTATAATTAAAATTTACATATAGATAAGTATGACAGTTTAACTTATCAATCATTTTTAAAACATCTCTTAATATGAAAATATAAGAAATTTTTTAATATCATGAATAATATAAAAAACACATTTTCTTATTATTGCTAGGGCTGTTTATTATTTGGATAAAACCGAATTGGACAATTGGACAATTTGGATTGGACTATTTGGTTTGGATATTCGGATCTTTGGATTGGTTTTCAACAAAACCGAATTATTATTATTATTTGTATAAAGTTTATCTAAGGAACTAACTATGACAGGTTTTTTATTTTTGAAAATTATAAAAGAGGATAAAAAATCATACTTATAGTTATAAAAAATATAAAATATAAAGTATATATTACATGGTCATAATATTTTATAACATTTGAGGTTTATTTTATTTTCAAATTTTTGACAATTACTTTTAAACTAGGGAAGGATCCCGTGTTGCGGGTGTAGTGTTAATTAGTGTTAGTATGTGGGACAGTTTCGTAAATGTTTTATTAATTTAGATGTTCAACACAAATGATAAACAATCATCTGGCATCAACATCATCCTGCACACATGTCAATATAGAAAGAAAAAATTACAAAAAAGAGTTAAGAAAAATTTGAAATAAGTAAAATGTTTTTGTTACAAATACTGAACATACCTTAAAGTCTAGGAGTAATCCAAATACAACATGATAAGCTGGATCTTCAATGTTATCCACAACAAATAGGAACTCCAAGGGGCCATCATAATTATCCATATATTATCAATCATCATACGTACTAATAAAAATTAGAATAAAATATATATATATATATATATATATATATATATATATATATATATCTCCAGCTTTAAAGTTCAAAGTAACACCTGTATTCTCTAGTTGTTCAGATTGTGTTCACCGAAGCCTTTCAAGGGCATTACAAAAGTGACAGCTGGCACTTCCATCTGTTTTGAGTGCCCAAGATCATGAAGATCATGGCTAAGGAATCCAAACTCATAGACCTGTATAAATAAATCTGAAGTAAATGCAAAGTGATAATCTAGGAGCAGATTCTCAAATTTCTATTCTTTATTCACCTTCAAATAAAACAGAGTCTGCAACACTTCCTGCAACTGTTGCAACAGCAGCGAAGAGACCAGCTGTAAGTCAAGATTGTTGAAGATGATACAAAGTCATTCATCTATTATTATTATTATTATTATTATTGGATCTTAGGGCAAAGGATATCTTGTGGAGCCGGTGAATTAATGAATACCCTTTGAAAAGCTTAAAGCACCGATGCAAAAAGTCCCAAAACCATGAACCCAACTAAAATCCAAATTACTGGTTACAGATGTTAAACAGAGCACACCCAACAAAATAGATGAATAGGATTGCGTTAAAATGAAGAACACGGTCTGTGGTCTTTTGAATGGATTTGAAGAAAATAATTGAAGTGGATGTTACCTGAATCAATCGGTCGTCTCCTTCTCCAGAGTTGCCAATTCCAATTTTTGTCCAGCAGCGAAGGCAGTAACGAAAGAGCAAAGTGAGACGCTCGATTTTTCTTCGTCTGCGATGATTGAGGAAGTTGGGGATGGAAATCGGGAAATCGTCGGGAAAAGGCGCCGACAGTGGCCGATAATGGTGGAGTGTAACAATCGATGTATGTGAAGCTGCTGAAGACGGAAACATGAAAGGTAAAATCGATCTACAGTCGGTGGAAATCGAAGTAAAACATAAGATAAACCCCAGGGAAGACAGATAATCGGTGAGGTGGTGGTTTGACTTTGGAGAAGATAGAAGCCAATACCATTCCCCATCTAACCCTGGAGCCTCTCGCTTTCAAGTCGAAGGATTCACATATGAGCGGAATAGCCTGCAAAATCAATGCTTCAAGAAGAGAGAGACAGTAAAGGATATGGATGGCGGTGGAAGATAGAAGGAATATTGAAGAAAGTCGTGAAGGAAACGTGGAAGGATATGGAGATAAGTATTTGAGCATCACAGGTGCGAACATAACACGTAAGGATCTTCACCAGGTCCAAGGACACGTAGCAAGGCATTGACTACTCCACCTGAGAAAAAGATGGATAGAATAGAAAAAGGAAAACAACAAATAAAGATGGTCCAATAGGGAAGAAACTCCTGTTCTCCAAGGAGTTTAGAATTAGTATGTATATATAATAATGTATCTTTTATAAAATGTATTCTTTTAGTCATAAATTAATTTTTTTTAACGAAAAAGTCCTAAAAACCGGTAAAAGTTTGTATTTTGACTTTTTTAACCGGTTGAAACCGGTAACAAATTAATTTGAGACTATTTCGTAAACTGACCTAAAATATTAAAACTTTTCTGCAAAAAAAATATTATGATTTTTCTGCAAATAGAAACTTTATTATTATTATTATTATTATTATTATTATTATTATTATTATTATTAAAGTATAAATAAGTATACTATTTTTTTAAATTCGTTATTATTAATATTGTTAATAATACATATAAATACGTTTAAATGAAAAAAATATTTGTAACTTCCCAAAAATTAATAGTAAAATTTTTATTTTTAAAGCAATAAACCATACAAAAAAGTTGTTCCAAAAGTGATTAAAGTGAGTATACTATTCAAACATCAGAGTAAAGATCATAAGTTGCCAATGCGGAACACTCTGGGGGATGTTGTGCAGTCATGTCAGGCCTTTCCCTTTCGTATCAGAAGTACCTGAAACCATAAACATAAAACCGTAAACACAAAGCTTAGCGAGTTCCCCAAAAAATACCACATACAATAGAGAATGCTACGTGCCAACCATAGTCTTGCTATTATGCCATGAGCCGTATCATGGTCTTTCATTGCCAGGTCGGGGGCCAAAACCCTGTGTCTTACAGACAAGTACCAAGAGCCACCTTTTGGTATTCCATGCAAGTATCACAAACACCACTAGCATACCACACATAATTGGCAGGGTCTGATACCTGGTCTTTCATACAGTTTGTCGGGTTCCACCTTCAGGTCTTTCATACAAATGCCTAGGGCCACCCCTGGTCCTCCTATATAACATAAACCAATGGGCCGACATTGGTGCCTTCGACCCACGTGTATAGTAAGGAGACTCACATGAATCACAAAGCTGACTAACACTTAACTCAGAACCGTGCCGACCACAACTAACTGCTCTCCTGCCAAAAGATGGGTGCTTAACACCTCCTATCAATCCACACAAGGTAAACCCTAAGTCTACCTTCTAAAAAATAGAATTTTGACCAAAAGTCAACCCATGCCAAAAGGCAACAGTCGAAGTCAAAGTTTCAACATCCCAATGTCAAATTATCCATTCTCACGTCGTGACTAGTCTTTGGTCACGTCGTGAGATCTTACTCGATCTGATTCCAACTCATCCCGACTGAACTGAGTCAACTCGGACATGAAAAGTCATAGGAGCATACCTCACGTCGTGAGAGCCTCCTCCCACGTCGTGAGCTCCAAGAAGCTAACCAAAAACAGGGTCATTCAAACCTCACATTGTGAGCGCCATGTCTCACGTCGTGAGATCAGTCTGAATCCAAAAGTCCAACTTTTAAGTCATGAATCTGTTAAGCCTTGAACTCTGACTTTCCAGAAGGTCTTATAACTCCATAATGCACTGGAAAGTCGATGCTTTTAAGACATATATGTCTAATACATGTCTAGATCTTATTTAAGTCAAAAGTTGAAGAAAAGACATCCAACTTTCATGCAAGGTTCCCAAAAGTCAACCATTCACTAGATCTGAACTCCATATCACTCTTAAGACCCTAATAACTCATAAAGTTGCCAACTTTATGGTTTCCATCCATCAAACTTACACAACCAAGAAGAAAAGTGGGACAAAACCTAGATCTAGCCTTATAGAACAATAAAGGAGGAATCTTTGATACTTACAATGATCCAAAAATAATGTAAGATGATGATGATGAAGATTGTTTGCAAGCCTCTTCTTCTTAAATACAACAAATTGATTGAGGAGGCTATAATGCAACTTGTCACATAACTTCAATTATAGTTTCACCTTGCTTCTGGGGTTGAAAGATTGAGTGTTAAAAAATAATCGAGTTCCTTCGAACAAATGTTCTTCAACGATCACCGATGCGTCTTGAAAAGTAACCATGACTAAAAATTCCCTGTGGATCACAGAATCATAAAGACCCTTCTCACCACAGTTGTTCAAGGACCCAGCCTTGGCTCAGATGAAGACTACTCGTAATATGTATGTGAACACGGGGGAACACACTGCGATTTGTTGAGTATCAGAAAACTACCCGTGGCTATTTTTATGTTAGCCCTTGCATATCCTAGATCAAAGATCTCAATACAGTTTTTCAAGTTAACAAGTTAACTTGGCTCTTGGCGAGACGTTCAACGATATCTATTTTTGGATAGGTGAATCGCCCTGGTGCCATGACATCTGTACAGTGTCAGACTTTCAATTTCGTAAATACGACAATTCTTAAAAAGATACTGCCTGACTGACAATTTGTATAGTTTCAATCCTTCAATTCCTTTCCAAGTTTGTTCTCCTTGCTTAGAAAATTCTGATACAGTCTCCTTGAGTCTCTTCTTTTGAATTCGCTTTTTAAGACACATAAAATTTTGAGATATAAAATAAAAATAAAATAAAAATAAACTTAGCACACAATAGAAACAACTAAGAAATAAAAATAAAATTAAAAATACACTCAAAATAAAAATAAACACATTTTTGGATATTTTTTAAAATTCTTATGATTTTTTTTTTGATTTTTTTTAATTCTCCCCCTTAAATTTGTGCATAAAAGAAAAAAATGAACAAATTTAACTAAAAAAAGTAATAACTAAATTTAAAACTTTTGGGATCAAAGTTGTCAAGCAATTCAATATCGTTTATCAACACACACCTGAATGAATAGCTCTGGTCAATTACCGGTATTGTGGTCCAGTTAAACACAAATGATATTTGCAAGTTGGACAGATTATAAGTGACAATACATTGCACCTATATTCCTAAATAGATCATATAGCTGACGACGACCAAGGATATTGTTGTCCACTTAAATTCAACAGCGATATCTACAGTCAACCTTTAGTTATTTCAAATTTAAGTGCACTAGAACGTGTTCACAGTTCACGACATACCCTAGCAATCAAGGAATTCCAAGGTGCTCTTTACTTTAGGTGAGTGTTCAATTATTTGAGAGAGAAGATAGACATAGAGATGCATATGTTGTATCCCAGGTCGGATATCTTACAATCACGTAGAGGGGACAACATATGGCTAACACAGATAGAGGGTTAGAGAAATAGGAAGTTGCATATGTTGTGTCCCAGGTCGGATCTTCTGATCACGCAAAGGGGACATCATATGACTAACATAGATAGATAGATATAAGCTTAGAAATAGAGTGCATATGTTGCGTCCCAGGTCAGATCTCTTCCAATCACGCAAAGGGGGCAACATATGACTGGCAGAGAGGATAAAAAAGATAAACAAGTTCACACATACCTACTTTATCTGAACCCCCCAGTCACCCTATCAACACCAGAATTAAGGACATAAGTCCGTACGTCGAAGAAGTGTTGAGCGACAGTTCTAGATGATAAGTAACTTTAATGTATCTCGCAGACTCCCATGTTTATCTCACTGCTCAGTCTATCCCAGCGTCGTATGGTCAGTCCAAATGTAACTATCTAAGTCTAGATGAGTTTGTTGGATTAGATGTCTAAGCCCATAACTATTATTGGTATGTACTTGACCCGAGAGTAGCATGGTCCATTTGGGTTGCATATCATCAGGACAATTTGTTAGGATGGACTTTTGAGAGAAGGTTATTTATGGTTTATTAATATATTATAAGTTATAATATATTAATATGAAATCATATGTTTTAATTAGTATCGATCAAGAATTAATTTGGAATTAATTTAGTGATCAAAAGAGACTAATTAAATCTATGGGGACTAATTATGATAATTAGTTATATTTATATGTGTTGGGCTTATGATCCATGTTGGACCAAGTTTATGTATGGATACATAAAGAGTTGGGCCACATGAACCATGGATCATAAAACCCATGGGTATGGATTATGGGTTATACCCATGACCCTTGGAATCCTACATATAAATAGGTTACTCCATAGCCAAAATCACCACTTCTTTTCTTAGAGAAATATGGAGGTGTTTTGGTGCATGGAATTCTCTCTCAAGAGCCACCTTTGTCCTAGGTGTGTTGTGATTCCATTTGAGGCATTTCATACTATTGGTGCTAAGCTCTTAAGGCCAAATACATCAAGACTTCAAGCCACATAAAATGTATGTTTCCCTAACTAGTATATTATATGGTTTATGTCAAATGCATGCTAGTTATAGGTTTAATGCCTTGGAAACCATTTGCATGTATAATTAGTGAAAACATAGATCCAAGGTATTTAGGGTTGTATGTGCACCATAGGATGTTGTATTATACCAAACTCCAACAGTGGTATCTGAGTCATGAGTTGTTTTCTATTATATTTGATGCAAATGTATTTTTTTTCAAGTTGAAGGAAAAAAAAGAAAAAAAAACATGAAGTTTGTCAAATTTTATGATAATTACTTGATTTTATGAAAAACTAATTATTTATAAAATTTGAGTCACTTTACTACAAGAGTTGAATTAGGTCAATTTATTAAAAGATAGAATGATATGATTATTTTATTTGTTTTAAAAGTTTGATCTAAATGGTTTTAAGGAGTTACAAATTTTGTCATAAAATTTTGGAACTCAAAAGTTTTTTTTAAAGTTATGATCTTAAGAGTTTTGAAACTTCCATAAGTTATGGATATGAAAGTTTTTTTTTTTTAAAAAAAATTTGATTCAAAGTTTTATGGAGTTACAAAATTTGGTGTTAATGTTTTAAAGAATTCCATAATTTGTTCTTAAGTTATGG